AGGCGTCAGGTAGACATGTTTTAAGTGATTCAGCCTTTAGCGGACCAGAACATTAAATGCATAAATAATAGTAGATTGTTTTATTAGGATCAAAAGTGACACTTTGTTTGACAAGCGAATTTTGCATTTGCGAGTAAAAGAAAGACACATTTGATCCGAATGAAACATGCTGTTTCTTCTGCAACCGAAACAATTAACTCAAATAAATATGTGAAGTAACCACCAATGTCGTGCCATATGTATGCAATGCAACAACCAATCAAAATCAATGCAAAATCCGTGTGGTGAGAATATTCTACCTGTATTAACAGCAGGTTTATTCAGTTTTCAAGGATGTTCGAATTGTAGTTTCAATATGAATACAACCACAGAGTGATATATTTGTGTATGGACCAGGTGCTCTGATGACAAATACCAGGTAAAGGAACAAGACGTGGAAAATGTAAGGTTAGTGAGCATATCGACAATAATAATAGCGAATATTTATTCCTTCTATACTACACTGTGTTTAGACTTGATAATCAAATAAAGGTAACCAATATCGTTGTTTGAGACAGAAAACTATTGCTTGCCGTGATTATTCGAAAACAAGTTATCCATCCCGAGAATAACGAATGAAATACAGATCAAGCAAGTATGTGAATCTTGAACGCTTCCCTGATCAAAACAAAAATACTCAACTGAGATGTGCATAATTCCTATAATTACCTATAATAAGGTGTGTTTATATCTTCAGCATGAAAATAAAATGTCAAATCTACCGAAATCAGAAACAAATCAGGTATGCGTCCCAACCCAAATACCCAAACGTAACAATGTTGCTTATTCTTGATGACGTCTAGTACATCATTTTCAGTTCCTAGGAACTAAGTATTTCGCCTAGCATCACCCTTTTTTTGTGGTATTTATAGAAACGACAATTCAAGAGCTATTTGTTATGTTCCACGGTTTCGGTCACGTTGTGACAAATGCGACAAGTTGAAGTCTCCGCTAGGCCTTTTATTTCGAGTAATACCTCAGAGAGAAGTGCTTCAGCTCTGGTTTGCTGAGACTCAGTAATAATTGATGACTTCCTTCCTTGTTATCGTGGACCTGGAATTGCTCACCGATGCTTTTTCGCTCTCTATCTATTCCCTGCTCTGCGATTAGATGACATCTTCTTGTTCAACAGAAAGTCTTAGGACCAAAGAATATGGACTGCACTGTTTTTCGCTAGGCTAAGATCATGAATTTACTACGAAAAACCGACCAAGTACACTATTTTTTTCAAAATACGCAAAATTTGGTCTAATTTTAACTTGCTCTAGCTCCTCAATTGTTAGTCCTACATTCGTGAGCAAGAACCATTATATATAGACAATGTCATCTACTCCAGATTTCCACAGAGTAGTCCTTTCGCTAAAATGAATAGTTTCCGAGTTACGGGCAAAAAACTGAAAATTGTGCGCAAATTTGAGATTCAGATTCATCACTCCCGAAGTCATATACAGGTTAGGTCAAAAATGTGTACGGAGGGAAATCTATCCTTCCAAATAAGTTGATTAAGCTAAAATAATTTTTCCGCATAACTTGTAGAAGGTTGATGCCACCAAATTGAAATCACCTGCATGGATGTATGTCCATAAAATAAATTTATCTGATACACTTTTACATTTCTGCTATATTTATAGAGGGTGGTATTAGAGGGTGGGTCATGATTTTTTGATTACAACTGTTTTCCCAGTATTATTCTCTGTGAAAAAAACAGGAGCATTTGATAAAGCGAAAAATATTGAATAAAAAAGGTACTCCTTTCAAAATACGAAGAATTCAACTGTTCTCGAGATATATGAGTTTCTGAGTTCACATGATATCAGCAAATCAATTTATCGGTGACAATATTTTAGGAGTCATGACCAATTTTGTTCCCGATTTTGACGTTAATGACATCAACATTAATATTGTTAATTCCTTCGTTTGGTTTTTATGCTTCGTATCTTCGTAATATTATTCCTGCCATTATCAACTGAGATAGTTGAGGAATGGCAGGTTATTCGTGATGCAGAGATGTTTCCGGCTTGACGCAATCCAAATTTTAGAACAATTTTGAGGATTGTGCACCGATAGCGTGATAAAGGATGTTTCAAAACAAAAAAATAGTGATGGTGGCCGGCCAAGAAGTTCGAGGCCTACTGAAATATTGTTAGTGATGAATTTCCAAGATTCTTTGGGAGTATTTAGAACTCTCCAAAATTTCAAAACGGAATAATTTTGTTAGGCATGAAATTCCGCAACTTTTCGATAATCCAACCGACCCTGTATATATTTAAGAGATCCCAATGATGATGCTCTAATTCAAGCCAACATGTACTTATAGGAACTGCAGGTATATAGATTATGTTTTTTTTTTCAATAAAATTGGTAAGTCCCTGCTTATCTTAACATATTATTGGATATAGAGGTTGATTAGTGAAGTGATCAAATAAATCATCATATTAGACCTTGAAAATTGAAAGAAAACATAGATGGAACGGTCTCTATAGATATTTCATTGAATTTTTCCTAGAATTGCCTCGTTCCCTGTCATGTTAAATTCATTTCGTTATCTGAATTTTACCGTCGGCTTGAATGTCATCAGGTCAGACAGGTGTAAAACTATATTCTATGATAATTTGTAATTATACATAGGTATACTAACCTATTACTCAACAGTTAACCTGTCTGGTTCACAAGTTAATAGTGAATTACAGACGTTTGAATAGAAAAATCTGGGTTATATACAGGGTATCGCAGGTTTAACACGTGTTATTCTGACAATTGATAGCAAGAATCGAAATATTATACACGTATTTTTTGTATCGTCGTGCGAAACTTTGGTTTTGATTTTTCATCTCTGTTGAAACAAAACCTAGCGATTTGAGATTCTGTTAGCACTTTCCTATCGGAAATATAAACAGTTCTTATCAAAAGAGGGGAGTGAGCTACACTAGGTGGTATTTTTTTCATATCCACTGATGGCACTGATATGGAACCCTACAGATTTTCTCCATTGAGACGCGAATGGTGAATTATTGCTGATGAAAAATGATCCTTATTTATTCACCTTGCTATCTGCGCTTCATTTGTTTCAATATCCTCCTTAGCTCCCTTGTTATTTGGAATAATGTTATACTATGCATAACAGTTCTTCAACCTGAATATTAATCTTACATCAAAATTATCATTCGAATTGAATACTAAATGAATCACGGACACGAACAATTCATTTCAAAATTTCATACCTCCAACAATGTCCAAAGCACATCATGATAACATTTTTCAATGATACCAATCGTGTATAATGTGGCCTAGGATGAGCCTGATATATTTTCGCACTAACTCGAGAACTGAGATAGATATTGAAACAAATGAAGAACACAAAGTGAGGTGAAGAAATGTTAATGATGTTTCACTAGGTTCAATCCACTACTAGCATCCCAATAGAAATATCTTATGGGTTCTATGGCAGAGGGCTCCAAAAAGAATAACACCCAGTCCCTCTATCGATAAAAACTGTTTATATTGCCGATAGAAAAGTTCTATAACCGAATTTCAAATCGGTTTTGTTTCAACCGAGATTAAAATAAAAACCAGGAATTTATGCGAACTTCAACACCCCGTTCAATTATAAGTTTTTAATCTTTGAATTTGAGCCTGTATTGGGTATGAGTGCATACCTTTTATATTATGTTAATCTTTTGCCATTGTTGACTTGTCTAAACAAATTATGTGTATTGTTTTTCTTTTGCGGTGTACATGAATTTGTAATATTGAGACCAATAAATATCTATCTATCTATCTATCTATCAATGAAAACAAGTTCAAAGTTAGACGAGTTAAACCTGAATTTTTTCCACTACATGCAATATATTTCAATCATTATCGTTCTGTGAAACTGAAATATGGACCTATTGTCACTATGAAAGCACTTCCCTTCAATTCTGATTAAAATAATAGCCATGACTATGACAACATATGTCAAGTCGTTATTGATAAATGAGTACTAAGATTCGAGTCCCATCTCTACGGATATCGCATTAGAACAGTGAATTCAGGTTGATTATAACAGGCTATGTCATTATTGACTGGTTCATAAAATGACGAAAACTACCTTGGTAGTGAAAATACACTTTGTGCCTCGAAAAGGAGTAATCAATGGTAGGTTCTACAGCTAGTGGTGGAAAAAATACTAAATTTTGCATATCTTCAGAAACACTGGCATCAACATTTTCTTCTCGCTGACAAATATTGCAGCGCCAAACTGTAGAAGAATCTGCTTCGATACCTACATAGATATGTTTGTAGAATTATAACGAGAGGAGGTAGATTTCGCAAAATAAGTTGAATTTTCTCAATGAACATACTTTCTATAATGAATCAAATCAGATAGATGTTTATATTTTTATATTTTCCGGCTTTCTATTATGGGCAACTGCGTCTACAGAAATATTCAAAAATAGTTAGACACCCATAGGTTATTTGGGAAAATCAGCTTTCCATCATCGATATTTCTATTGAATTCTGATGGAGAATGTTTCTGAAATTTCGAAGAAATTCAGAAATGACAAAAGAAATAGGAATTGCTATTGAAATTTCCAGGGGTTGGTGCCTTGGGGGTAAGGAGATTAAGAGTAATACCAACAAACACCTCAACAGTAATTGTTCAATTTGGAGAACTTAACAGTTCAATTGATATAATGGTATGTACCAATGACGTTTCAGAGAAATACTTAGCTCCTGGTTCACCTGGTTTGTGTATGTAGCAACAGCAACACACCTATTGATTTAGTTTTCATTCAACTCTATAATATTTCTTCTCACTCTAGTTTTTCCTCTTCATCTGAGTCTTGAATGTTTAATATGACAGGTATAGAGATTTACAATGAATGAATGAATATGCATAAGATACAAGGTTTTGTTAATTTGATTTTTCCATTTCGAAAATGATATTCAGGAAAATATGCGTTGATGAATATACTAACCTTTTACACAGTTCAGCAGCCTTCTCCCAAGAATGTCTTATATTGAAAAATTTGTAGCAGTGAAGGCCTCGCAACTCCCAACCTGTAACAAATTGATTAAGAATTAAGGAATTGTTACTAAAATCTGATAGATATACGCTGAAGTGACACTTCTGTCAAAAAAGGTTTTCAACTCATAGTATGTATTTATGTATTTGCCTATTCTATATACCGGGTGTAACCGGATCATAGTACACCCCCTTTTTCTCCTTTAGTTTTAGAGATAAGTGATTGAAATTTGGAATGACCCATCAACTTGATGAATGTCAGGTTTTGAAATAAATATGATCTATTTTCCACTTCGGGTTTCACCGTAGGTGGTTATAACTTTTGATTTTCAAGTGGAACACCCTGCAGATCATTGTATTATCGAATTCTGCATTATTTTTTGTATCCAAGGATACCATATAAGTGACACTTCAATATTGATTTCAATTTCATTTCAGTTTTTCCATCTGAGTGTGCCATGAATATTCCTGTCAAAAATGTGAAATTTTTTGATTTTTCACCAAGTTAATTTTATCGAAATGGTTTGTTGTACCATGATCCTGTTACAATTTGTATATTATATAGTTCGTATCAATTCGTGAACATTTCTTCTTCTTCTCTTCTCTTTTCTCTTCTTCTTTTACCATTTTCCAAGATTTACACAGTTAGGAGAGTGACTCAGAAAGACATTGTATTGACGTTGTTCTGTCGGCATTTTCGGTCCACGTTTTCTCTTACCAAATTATTACCTTCAAATGACATCGCATTTAATGACGGCAAATAGACGTACAGTGCTGGATGTCTTAATTACGTCCCTACAAAGTCGTACATCCTGCCGTCCGACCGGTGAATTAATCAGTGCTTTTCGAAACAATTCCTCGTCAATTTTACGAAATTTGAGTTTGTTTATACTCCATTCGCCAATATTTTCTATCGAAATACTCTTACTCCGCTTACATATCGGATATCGTCGACGCTCCCTATACTGAATAAATTCATTTTTAGCTCAACTATCCATTTCTGAGAAACCTGTAGAGCAGGTAGATTTGTTTATATCAATTTGCCACATTTCAAGAGCGAAAATTCAGTTTACAGAGGGATCCACGTTCGAAGAATGACTTTCCCTCGAATTTATTCATATTCATGCATGTGTAGAAAGCTTCCGTATGAATAGTCACGCTTTTTTCGCCTGATTCAACTCTGAGACCGTCTCGATGATGTTTACCGGAAATATCAATAATGACCTTTGCAGACCTTCAATAATTTAGAGTAGAAAAGTGAGAAGAAGGAGTAAGGGGAGAGCGTACATTTTTTCCTTGCGATTACTTTGATTCTGTTCTCGAACAAGTTCTTCTATCTTAGGTAGTAGGTACTTAACCAAATATTCAACAGATAGAAAGATTTTCACTTTCACCGCTTGTTTGGTTGAATCATATGTCGTAAAAACTAGATTGGATATATTTCCGTATACCTCATCCTGTATCGTTATGTGAATGGTATTATGAGCATGCAACGAGTTAATGCTTATAGTAGGCCTTCAACTTTGAAATCGGTCGCAGTTGACCTACACTTGTAATAAATCCAATCAGTAGAAACTGAAACAATATAATAATACACAGACCTATACAGAGTGCTGTATCTAAATAGCACCGAGAAAATTCAAGGGGTGATTCTTTGTGATTTTTCAGGAAATAAAGTTCATATGAACATGTGTGCTTCGTTTTCGAGATACAGGGTATTAATATTTCCATGGAAGATCGTTTTTTTATTCGTTACTCAATTGTCTTTTCATCAATTTCAATAAAACGTTGTGGATTTGTTAACAGTAATATGGAGCTTCTTCTGGTGCAATTAGATTCGAAATAATATTTCCAGTGGCGTCACAGTGGATGAATTTATCGATATTTATTTATGGTGAATGTCATCGTGATTTTTGTATCTAGCTTAGTTTTTGAGGAAACCAAAAAAAAATCGATTTGACTCCAAATTTAATGTAGGTGTTGTCAAGACTCCTATTGAGATTACTCAATAACCCCAATTACAATCATTTTGAAATTTTGGGGCTTTCTTAATCTCCAACCATATTGAATTTTGGCACCATGAGAGCTCATACAGGGGGGCAGTAGACGAATATTTTTATTTACCAAATTCTGAAGGACTTATGTTGATAATGAATGAAATACTTTTTGGGAAAAAATGAGCTATAACACATTAATTATTATGGAGGTGAAAACCATTATCTCAATATCGAAATTTTTCAGTCAATATCATTTCCACGAGATAATGTGCAACCAATTTTGGAAATATATGGCTTTGGTGATAAATACCTATATATACATGTTAGCATCTGATATTTTGGTTGAATATTGATTTAAAAATTCTGAAGAAGTATCTATATTGAATTGTTTTGTTTCCATAGCGAATATAGCGTGTTAATATTATGTGACCTACTTTTCTGGAATATTCTCAATACGCTGTCACATTCAGTTGAACCGGGAAAAATATCAACGTTGTATACGAATGCATTTTTGAATTCTACGTAAATTCTGGAGCTATTGCATTGCAATCTTCATTTGTTTTCGAGATATTTAATTGTTTCCAAACATTGCGACCGAGTTTTTGACCTACCAAATTGTCTATATTATCGAAAATTATGATGATATTGAAAAATTATAGCTCAAATGTTACTAAAATGCATATTCACTGAGACATTACCGAAAATGACAATGGCTAGTATTGTTATTTCGAAAAATAACTTCAGTTTGAACCTCAGTTTGAACAGTCATCTATAGCCTTGCGGTAAGTCTCCCATGCTGAACACTTTCTTTATTTTTCACTCAAAATTCATTTGATCAATGGAAATATTTATAGTGCTTATATAAAAGAAACTATTGCATAATTGAATATAAAATAGGGCAAATACTTATCCACTGAAGCATTTCCGGAGTTGCTAATACTTGGTTTTGCATTTACAATATTTGACCATGAGATCTAAATTGATAATTAGTTGAATTCTGTACCAACATGTTTCTGTCTCCAATAGAAAATACATAAATCAAATGTGGATAAATATTGTATAAAAGCGAAAGATTTTACTCAATTATTATCCAGCACTAATTAAAACGATATCGAAGAATGGAGCGATATTGCACGGACAAAATGATTTTGGTCATTATGGCATTACGATGATAAGTTCTTGATGATACATGCGAAAATTCTGATATTAATCATTAAAGTCAATAAGGATTATTTTTAGGGATACTTTGAAATGACATTCGAATCAGTATTGAACTATGAGTCAGTATCTATAGATAAATACTCGACACACAATCTTGTTCTTATTTTCGGGTAAAAAATCATTGGAAGATGTATTTTTCATTACACCTGAATAAATATCTATACATTTTGCATACATATTAGGTCTCCTTGAATCAATTTCAGTCAATTTTCCTGTTTCAAAAAATCGCATTGAGAAAACTGGAGGCTGTAAATAACTCATTCTGCCTGGCCAACGGATTGGACCATTAGTACCCAACCAATTCGCCAAATCGCCTTCACCTGAATAATCATCAATTGGAATAGTCTGTTATTAAGCCAATATTTGATGATGAACTATCTATATTTAAATCATTCAATCATTAAATCAAAATTGAATTGGAATTCATCATTGATCCCAAAAAACAAGCAAGGAAAGTTTCATTTCCAATAATCAGATTAATACCATACAATACAATACAAAATATTTATTTCCATGGACTTTGCAGTATTGGAATAATGTCAAAATAGGTTTTCTAAGTGAAAAATCCGATATACATACATACATAATAGGTGGAAAAACAAACTTCGAAAAATTTTGCACACAAAGTGGTAAGGACATCAACAAAAAGTATTAGGTGCGAGGTCAGAGACGTTGCAATTGAAAAAATCATTGATTGAATAAAAATAATTTTTAATCAAAATAACTTTAGGAGTATTTTTAAATTTATGTTTATTTTGTATTTTTTTCAAGTCAATTGGTGGTTTATTATATAATTTGATAGGTAGCAGAATGGGACTATTTGCTACCTTGGTCAGTCTTTGCTAGGGTAAGGCCAAATCCATATTTACTCTAAGATCATATTGATTATTTCTAGAAACAGCATATTCAGATGAGATATTTTTGACCTGCATTATTGATGCAAGACTGAACAATGAGGAGAATGTTAGTAGGTTCAATTCTGGGAATAATTCTTCACAAAAAAAGGTATACGATTTGAATAATATAATTCTAATTATTCTCTTTTGAGCTCTGAAGACCTCATCAGCCCTGGCACAGTTGCCCCAGCACATGATGGCATAAGAAAGACAAGATTGGACATATCCAAAATAATAAACTAATAAGAGATTAACGTTCTCCTTATCCCTTAGTTGCCAAAGAACGTAAGTGTAGATTGATTTTTTTTTCCATATTGCATCAACTTGACACGATCAAGTCAAATGCTCTTCTATAAAAATCCCAAGATATTTGGCGACCCTCTTCTGTTCAATGGTCCTGTTGTTGAGGTTAACAAACAGGCTTTTATTAAAACCAGTATGAGGGTGAATAGTACCATTTCAGTTTTATCTTCGTTTAAAACAAGTCCCTTAACTCTGCAGAAATTCATCATTTGGTTAATCGCACCACATGACATTTTGGATAGCATATCCAGACTGCTATTTGACGTCGTAACAACAGCATCGTCAGCGAATGCTGCTAAATAATGATGAGGAAAATCCTGCTTGAGGCTATCAAAAAGAAATTATAAATAGGAGGGGTCCTATAGTATGTTTCCCTGAGGGACGCCACTGGTAACTGAAATAAAACTTGAATGAACCGAAATTTCATTTGTTTTTATGTTGGTTTTTTGTTCTCTGTTGGTAAGGTGAGATTTAATCCACTCGAAAGCCAGACCGCGCATGCCGCATCTGTTAAAGTTATCTAGCATTAAGTCAATATTTATTACATCAAACGCTCTTTTTGGATCAAAAAATACTGTTCGAAATTCGAGATTGATAATGCATCACTTATATTTGTTG